TGCACCAACCTGCCATAACACTCAAAATACTTATGAGACTGCATTGTTTCAGTCCCATACTTACACAAAAAAGGGTACATAAGAGCTGCATCAAAGACAACAAGGGGACAATATACCCAAACAGTTCAAATGGTATTTGATTTACCCCCAAAACCATATCAAAGCTCCTCTATAAATAAACCTTTCTTCACAACATCAAGGGGGCTGGAGACGCTGAGAGGAGAGAAAAGAGAGTTGGGAAACAAAAAAACAGAAACCTTTGTAATTTTTGCTCACTCAAAAATCAACTCTACTTTCACATACAAACACAAAATCAAAATCCATTATCTCATATTTCCAACTCTTATAAATCAACTATCCAGAACACCCCACACATAGAAGATTTTTCAAAATCAAGGACAACCTTCTATGATAACTCTTTGAACCAAAAGCAAACCCCCTGTGACAACTCTTCGAATTCCAGAACCGTCCAGGCAGCAATTCAAGTTCGAAAACCTCCACATTAGCTTTGAGATAAGTCTTTCTGACTTTAACTCTTCCATTGCAAGCATCTTATTTGATTCATCTTTGAGGCCAACATGTAATAACCATGGCCTTCGTTGTTAATTTTTTTTGTTTTCCTTTAAAGAAATAATTTATATAGCCCCTAAAAATGTTAGAATAAAAATATGCATGCTTCGATAAACCTACTTTGATGCACACACATTCTTCAACACAAACATCTTCATCACACACACGCACTTGCTTCGAACACACTGACCTGCAGACCCAGACGATAGGTGCACCATGTTAACTTCCAGACCCAGACGAAAGGCGTACCATGCTGACTTCCAGGTCTAGACGAAAGGCAATCCCTCACTGCTTTCAACCCCCAGTCGAAGGAGGCAGAAAGGCATATTACATCTTACACTGGTTCTAGGCCCAGTCGAAAGGCACAACATGCTGACCCCCAGGCCTCAGTCGAAAGACACCCCTTCACCCCTTACAGGCCAAATTGAAGAGAGCCAGAAAGTGCATAATCGAAGGGTTTGCTGCCTCAATCGATTGACCCTCATTTTTATTGCTTTTATTTTATTTTTTGCCTTTTTATTTTCATGCAATTCAACATGGTTGTAATAGTGTAGGATTTTATCTTTCTGGATTTTATTACTTTTTGTATGATTGCAAGTAAAATAGGGTATGTATGGCAAGATAAAAACAACAAGTAGACAACCCTTAATCAAAGACTAAATGCATTCAAAATAAATACACTATTCACACATGCACCCTTAAGGTAATTCCACTCATTGCCTCTGAAAAGTAGTCATGTCCCTCGAATATGGGCGTTTTAGCAAAGACCCTCGATAAAAGATCGTAGTCCCTCGATGACCTTCAATGATGCCTTCGGTAAATGATCTAGTCCCTAAAAGACATTGCTAAAACATCCATAGGTTGCCTTGTATGACTATACAAATGTCCCACGCCTTTCCCTTCACATCCAACGATGGGGCTTCTTACTAAATCAATGGTAAGATAGAAACATCTAAAGAAGGAGGAAAAGAACATTTATAACCTTTTGAGTATGTAGGTTACTCCTAGTTGCTCGCTCGCTCACAACAAAAACATTTTATACACCCACACTTTCGCTTTGAAACATTTTCAAAAGATAAAACACTTAATACGCGTTCTTATAGAATCGAGAGCCATTATAAAGACACCTTTTCAAAATCACTTTCAAAAAACACACTTCACAAACACTTCTTTGAACTATTTTCCAAATAACACTTTGTACGTATTCTTATAGAGACGAGAACCATTACAAAGACATTTTCAAAATACTTTCAAAAACCCACACCGCAAGCACATTTTCAAAAAAAAAGCAAGTGATCTAGCAAGAAACTAAGAGCCCGTAGAAAACTACGGATGCAAAAGGGTGATAATAACTTCCCTTTTCATAACCTAACCCCAAACTCAAGAAAACAATCTCGAAAGGTCTTTCCTGTTCTTTTCAACCTTTTCTTATTGGATAAAAGAAAAGTCGGTGGAGACTCTTGCTATCCGCAACAATTGCGATTAAACGCAAAACACCCAAGTCAGTTCTCCCACCGTGTTACAATTTCGTTTTAGTTTTATTCTAATTTTATGTGTGAATCACTAATGTGGACTGTGTGAATCACCTCAGTACTTAGAAGTTTCTTCTTTACCAAATAAAGATGACGGGATGTTGACCGATAATTCGACTCTGGATCAGAGGATGATTTTGACGTTATCTGTAATATTGTTTCTAATTTTCCCATTAAATTCGAAATGATCACTGAGTTGTCAGAAGAAGAGGACAATGGACTTACTGAATAATTATCAAACCATAAGCCTTTATATTACTATGTAATGAATAACAATTGCGTAGATGAAAGACTAGTAAAGATTTAGGAGTCATACAACTTGACATTATTGTAGGAACCATTACAAGACCAACCTTTTTGTGGTTATTTCCACCAAGGAAAATTATAATCTATTGCTTGGTCGAGAATAGATCCATGGTGCGGGAGCAATCCCTTTGACACTGCACCAAAAGATTTCAATTTGGAAACCTGATGGGGTTATAGAGAATATTGAGACAGTTCGTAGTTATTTCTTAATTGAGGTCAATCAAATAGATAAAAATGATTTTTAAAAACAATTGGAAAGCATTTCACCATGTTTTCCAACGGGAACAAGGTTTTCTTCACAAGGAGAAGTGTTATATTTGATGAAGTTACATCCTACCCATGGATTCATGTGGGAACATGAGGACAAGGGGAAATGATATGATGAAGGTTCCACCACAATTGTTGGGTGACCAGAACCAAATAATAGTAATGATTGAATCGAGCACATTAGCTCGAATTTTAGTATATATGGCTAAAAATAAAATAAAGGCGGCCTTAGAGAGCGATTCTTAACAAGAAATGGTTGTTGAAGACACTATATTAGAGACTAATAAAATAGATGATATTGATACAAATCCAATTTCAAAAAGCCAAAGGCTTGGTTGTATTTAATACAATGAGCCTTTAGGATTTGAAAAAGATCCATTAGCTTCATGTAAGAGGACACATGCTCAAGATCCTCTGGAGGAAATTGATTTAGAGGATATAACAATAAAAAATTCAACTTACACTAGTACAAATATGGATCCATGAATGAAAATCAGATGATCCAATTAATTAAAGAATTTAAAGACTACTTCAGCTGGGATTATGATGAAATGCCAAGACTTAGTCGAGATCTAGTGGAGTTGAAGCTACCTATTTGATATGAAAAGAGTCCAGTGAAAAAGATGCCAAAAAGGTTTACACCAGAAGTAATGTAAAAAATTAAGGAAACAATTGAAAGGCTTATGAGAAATAAGTTCATACGAACTGTCAGGTATGCCAAATGTTAGCAAATATAGTTCATGTTATTAAAAAGAATGGAATTCTTAGAGTTTGTTTAGATTTTAGAGACTTAAATGATGCTACTCTAAAAGATGAATACCAAATGCTTGTTACAGAAATGTCGGTCGATTCAACAACATGCTTTGAATATCTGAGTCTTTTAGATAGTTATCCAGGATATAACCAAATTTTTATTGTAGATGAGGATGTTCTGAAGATGACATTTTGATGTTCTAGGGCCTTCGAAACATAACAATGAGTAGTAATGTTTTTTGGCTTAAAGAGTGCTGGTGCAACATACCAAAGGGTAATGAATTCTATGTTTCATGATTTTATTGAGACCTTTATGTAGATTTATCTTGATGATATAATTGTTAAATCATCATCAAAAAATGGTCATTTAGACCACGTTCGACGGTCCTTTGAAAGAATGAGAAAATATGAACTAAAATTTAATCCATTAAAATATGCTTTTGGTGTCCATGCAGACGATTTTCTGGACTTTATGGTTCACAAATAGAGCACTAAAATAAACCAACACAAGACAAAAGATATACTTAATATGAAATATCCATCAAACAAAAAGCAACTTCAATCTTTGTTGAAAAATATTAATTTCTTGAGGAGGTATATTTCAAATCTAAGTGGCAAAATAATAGTATTTTCATCACTCTTGCCTTTGAAGAAAGAGGAAGGATTCAAATGGGAACCTGAGCATCAAAAGGCCTTTGACGAAATCATAAATCATTTGATGAATCATCCTATTTTGTTACCTCATGTAAGAAATATGTATATGAAGTTCTACATTTTTGCATCTGAACTGACAATATGAAGTATGTTAACCAAAGAGGATGTTTATGGCGTCAAATAGCCATTTGTTGCCTTAGTTGAGTGTGAAATGATGCAGAAACTAGGTATAGCTCAATAGAAGATTTGTATGTGTTTGTATTTCTCTATTACAAATTTGAAATGTTATATAAAGCCTACTTATGTTTTTTTATTCTCATTTCGATGTCATTCATCATTCCGCATAATTTGTAATAAACTCAATGTATATATCACAACGATTGTTTAGAACAACCGTTGTAAAATATTACACGTTAAGAATATCACAACAATCATTTAAAGTAACTGTTGTGATAGATACCGCGCTTTCTAAATTATAATTACGATTGCACGACCATAGTAAAAAATATCATACTTACAACCACTCCTATCTAACAACAGTTAATCATTCGCGGTAGTATCCTATTTTCAACAATTGTGAAATAGTTTTATGTAATAGTACAATTAGAATTCATAATAAATATTATAATATAAAATTATTGATCATATTTATCAAAAAAATAATAATTTTTACCATAATAAAAATTTAATAAAAGTTAATAAAAAATAATTTCCAATAACATATTACGCGAGTTTTAATCTAATTATTATCATTAGCTACTTCAAAATTAAACTAAAAATAGTTTGGTTATTTTCCTTATCCACAACACAACCGAACCATTGTTTCTTCTATTTAAACCCTCCTCATGGCAGTTCAAAAACCACTTTCATTTTCATTCATTTTTTATCCCCACATATAATACACTTGAGAGTAAGAAGATGTATCGTGCATACAAATCAGTGCATCCTTATTACGAAAAATCTAAGTCCATACCACAAGATAAACTCGATGCAGGAAATAAAATAGCGAAAATGTTAGAAGAAGCAGATATGAATAAGGATGGTCGTTTAACAAGGGATGAGATCGAGAAGGCTCTAAAAAGTTTAGGTTCATACTTCCCTGCATGGAGAGCACAACGTTGTCTCAAGAAACTTGATGCCAACAATGATGGCCAAATTAGTGGTAACGAAATTGACTATTTGGTTGATTATCTTCTTAGTCATGGTTTTGGAAAGAAATAAATTAATTAGAGGTTCCTCACTTTGCGTTTCAAATCTAAATTTCCATATTTATGTACTTGTGTTTAACTATGTGTAGTTTATGTAATGTTTTTATAATGTTTTATGATCAAGTAATGAATAAGACTCAGAGAATTGGAGATAAGCAATTCTAAGAGGTTGATCTAATGATAAAAATAAATGTTATAAATTTCTATATATGTCAAATGGATTACTGCTGTACACTTTTGAAGAAGATAAATATTAAAAAAATTAAGACACTAGTTTTATATTATAAAAATAACTAAATCTTTTTTTAATATCTTGAACAAAATTTTGCTTTTTCTTTTTTTATTCTTCAAAAGGAATCTTGTTAACTTTAAACCATTGGTTTCTAAATAAGAAACAGAAAATTAGAATAAAGAAGATAACATAATTTGTGGAACCTAATTTAAAGACCGGGACTAGGGAAAGGAAAGGAACCAATTTACTGTTCAAGAAAAGTGTTATGAAGAGGAAATAGAATTCAACATTTGCTCCAAGTCATTTATTTTTTGAAAATGTGATCTTTTAATTCTTAATCAAACCAACTAAGTTTTTTTTTTTTATAAGTAAAAATTAAATTAGAAAGATCACAATGGATACTCAACCTCTTTACAACTAAAAGAAAAAACACATAATCAAACGAGAACTCGCGGATTGCAACAGATAAATTTCCTCAAGTCTAGTGTAGCTCAATCTAAAAGAAAAATCACCTGTTTTTTTGCCTCGAAACAAATTCATCATCTGCTTTTAAGAAAATTTTGTCCCAATTTGAGAAAATTATCATTTGTGGCACAAACTTACGTTTGCAAGCCCAAGTATGTTAATTTGAACCCTTTGATCATAACCTTGAGATTCATTGTTAGGAGACTTTGGTTCTACCAATCCTCCAATGGATCTTCATCAATTTTGGTCAACGCGGATCACTTAAACATCATTGATCATTAAATGTTGCCTTGAGGATTCTTAAATGGATGATATACTTGACAAAAAGAAAATGCAACTTGTTGTTGAAAGGCTTTGGTTCTATCAATCCTCTAATGAGTTCCAAATGCAAGTTTCAATACGGTCATCCAACTAACCATTAACTTCTAACAATTGACTTTATCCTATGCTTTTATCTTATGCTCTTTAATTTATGTACCATTTACTTTAGCATTTATATTTCATTCTATTTTCATCTTTGCTCACTTGAGCATTTACTTTTATGTCATTTTTATTTTGCTCACTTGAGTTTTTCTTTTCCTTTTAAAGATACCTAATAATCAACATGAACAATAAAAACATTAATGATATTTGGACTATTTGGTTACTATCCTTGGCATTATGCAGTATTGGACTTCTTGGACTTAGGAATAGAATCCTTGGTTCATGTTGCAGACCTTGTGACCTTAATTGATATTTTGTTTGGAGTTCTTGAGGTTTACCTCAAGACATTGGATTGTTTGTTTGTTTTATGTGCAGGTTATTGTGATTACATACTTTGTCTGTAACCTGGAATTCATCTGTATACATCTGTTACTCTGCCCAATTTTTATGAAGACTTAATACATTTGAAGTTTGGTCTTCTCAAGAGGTTTAGTATCCTTGCTTGGTTTCAATCCAAAGAATGGGAATTCTATCTTGACTCATAATGTCAAGTGTTGGCTTCTTGTTGGTTAGATGTTTCTTCTCCCTAGCTTTTATCTTATGCTTTAGGATAGTCCCTTCACCTCCTTCCATCTTCTTTAATTTCAAAAATCTTCTCCCTCCTTTTGAAAACTCTTCTTCTTTCTAAACTTAAACCACTTTCATAATAAACTTGGACTTAGGTCCATGCATTTTCAAAATATTTTCATAAACCAACTTTAATCAATTTAATAATACCTTGACATTTTTGTGAGAAGACTAAAAGTCAATCAATCTCATTCAAATCATTTTGCCATTTTGGATCTTATCTTTAAAATTTTCTCAAAAGATTGGACTCTTGTCAATCCTTGTAGTGATGCAAACAATTATACTTCTACAATATATAGTGAAGTGAGATATTTTCCACTTGGGTTTAGAGTGAGGCATTGTTGATTTTAAAATCCAAGCCATATCCTCCACTTTGAGATGATGCAAATACTCCTTTCTCATGGTTGTGGTTAGTAAGTATGTTTTCCATACAGAAATGACGATGATGTCTTATCTCATAAAATTAACCAACACACTTGTGTTTTTGAATTTTTAAAGAGGAACTACGTGTACCCTGATCCCCTATTGCACGAAAGGTTGTATGTGGGCACTAAAGGTTCGCAACCGCGGCGGGTGCAAAAATCATAAAAAATATTTCTTTTCTCACCTCCATCATCTATTTTTATACAACATTTTATAGCCAAAATATACAGATTTTACAAAGAGGTTCACGCGGAGTACCATATATTTTAGGGTGTTAATACCTTTCCTTTGCAGAACCAACCCCCTTACCTTGATTCTTCCCCCTCTTTTGGGTTATTCGCTCTTTTACTATTCCTTTGGAAACAATAAAGCGCATTAGCGATTTTTATTTTTGATCTGTATAAGTCAAGTCAATCCAATGGCTTAGTCTTAAACATTTCTACCTCTACACTACCTACTCAAAAGGTCTTTGTTCTTTTCCTCCTCCTTTAGATGTTGCTATCTTACCATTGATTGGTAAGAAGCCTCATCATTGGATGTGAAGGGACGGGTGTGGGTCAATCATATAGTCATAGAAGGCAACTTATGAGACATTTTAGCAATTTCCATAAGGGACTAGATCGCTTACCAAAGGCAACATCGAGGGTCATCGAGGGACTACGATCTTTTTTATATCGAGGGTCTTTGCTAAAACGCCCATATTCAAGGGACATGACTATTTTCCGAGGCAACAAGCGAGGTTACCCTAGAGGTGTACGTGTGCGAAGTGTGTTTGATTGCATGCATTTTTGTCTTTGAGATTATGGTTTTCTAGCGGTTGAGTTTATATTTCCATACACACTCTAATTACTAACAATTTATATTAAAGCGGTAAATTGCGAAAATTGAAATCCTAAACTATTACATCATTAGGGGAGTGGGGGTACAATTTATAAATGGGGATGAAGTAGAAACTTAAATATTACAACCATATCGAATGACAAAGAAGACAATGTAAAAGCAATGTAAAATAAAAGGAAAAAATGCATTTTGAACTATTATGTGTCGACACATGCTGTTATGCATCGACACATAACTTTCCTTACCCCTGTAAAACCAAACCAACTCAGTATGATTCGATGCATAATGGGATGTGTCGACTCATGTGCCTGTTTGTGTCAACAAATACGCATTTTGTGTCGACTCATGCACCTTTCATCCTTCTATTTTGGGGCCTGGATAACAGTATGAGTCGATGCATAGGGCTATGTGTCGACTCATACCCTGTTTTTCACTAGAATGAGTCGATCCATGTGGGTATGTGTCGACTCATGCTGCATTTTTTTGCATTTAATATTGTTTTATTGTCTGTACAGGTCAATTTACAATATATGATTGATAAACATAAACCACAACCAAATGGTTAGCTCAAAGGGGCAATGATTACTACAATTTATCTTCAAAAATAAATCATTAATGTTGTATGAAAAAATGAAAAGTCAAGAAGACTTACCTTGAGACTGCACTTGGTGTTTTAAGTTTGAATACTTTTCAAGATGCTTTGATGGCTCCAATGAATCTCCATGAAGTTTTTCCAAACTTTTGAATCACACTAACTCAGTCAAGTTGCACAGTACTATTTTTGTGTTTGGAGGGTGAAGATAATGGCACTACAGAAACTGTTCTTGTGTTTGAGCAATCTCTATGTGATAAGGTGTTTGGTTTATGGGAGAGTTTGTAAAATGGATTGAGGTTCTGTTTTTGTGACAGAGAATAAATATGGGTATGAGCAAGTGTCTTTTGTGAAATCAGCAGAGTTTACAAAGAATGCTGTTTTTTTTCTATTCTCTCTTTTTCTCTCTAAAAGCAAACCTCCCTTGTGTGATGTGAAAACAGTCTACTTGTAGATGAGTTTTGCTGGGATTTTGGGAGAGAAACAAATAACAATTTGACACTACAACATTTGTTGTCTCTGGCAACACTTTTTTAGGTAACATGTAGAAATTGTTGCCTTAAATTCATATAGGCAACGATTTACGATTGTTGTCAAAAATATGTTTGCAACCCTTGATAATCGTCGCCTAAAATACTTTTGGGGACGTTTATGGAGCGATACTCTTTTATTTTTTTGCCAACGGTTGTTAATTGTGCCCTTAACTGCTTTTGGGGACGATTTTAGAGCGTTAAAATATTATTTCTTTAGCAATGTTTGACAATTGTCCCCTAAAATATTTTTGGGGACATTTTTAGATTGTTACATTAGTTCTAATAAAAGGCTACATTTCTGAAATGTTGTATAAATTTTTTTAGAATTATCAAATTTTTGGTGGCAATCTTCCCTCCAAAACTTATACACTAAAAAACAAATATTTTTCTCTAAACATTATTAAAAACACCAAAGAAAAGAAAAGAAAATGTCCATCTTATTAATAAGTTGATATATATATATATATATATATATATATGAAACTTATTAATTTGTTGATATATATGAAACTATTAGAAGATCGTTAAAAATTAAGATAATTTCCTTCTTATTAATTTGTAGAAGAACGTTAAAACGGGATTATCCAATAAAAAATAGGTCCAAGGTATATGAAATCCTCAAATCCAAAATCAAAAGCTGAGAAAAACTAGGGTTAGAGATTTCCTTAACTTCGCTTCGTGATCAGCTTCGATCGCTCGATTCTTTCGGAGACGAAGCTGAAACGCGAGCTCTGGATCAATGGCGACTCAAACGATAAAGCGAAAGCCATTGTTCGTGAAGGCCGATGAGCTGAAACCAGGAACAAGTGGACACACTCTGACAGTGAAGGTGGTTAGTTCTTCATCGGTGAAGACTGTCTCCAGCCGTGGTGGTCGAT